GACTGAATGAAGATAGGAGATAAATAACTGGGATAAAGCTCCCTACGTAATCAGTCATGTTATGCTGGATGTGTCTTTATGAAAATAATAGGGAATATTGGACTTGCTCGTTAAGACCCATAGCATAAGGTTCAGATGTTAAGGGGATAAGTATGAGTGATTTACACATCTGGTTTAAAAACCAATGAAAGGGACATCGCCTGTAATAAGGAAACGAACCTATAGCAAATACTAAAAATATAAGATTCGGCGCATGGTATCCACACGAAATGATGCCTTCGTCCACAGACTTTAAGGTTCTATTCATAGCTAAACTTTCTCTTTGAGCAGAATACCTTCAACGAGAAATCATCACGAATCATTATCAACTGACATTTTTTTTTTGCATCTCCTCCTCTGACTCATCAGTTTCGATCGAAATGATGTTACTGGTTCCAAGCCCCTCGCCATCCACCTGAATTGCGGTGGCGTTTGTTTTCTGACGAAATTCTCCCAAATGAGGTGTAATACGATCCGCTAAAGCTATTGCCGTTTGAATGAGAGCTCGACGCCGCTGTTTGAGATTGCTCCTGCCTTGAACTGGGAGCCCATCTAGCAACACCACGTACTGCGTGAGGAGCTCGTCCGATTGCAGCGCTTGAAACTCTATATCGTAATTTAACCTCGTAATTAGTTCTTCCACATTGCCCTCCACTACATTATCAGTGTCCTCCGCACCAATCAATTCCTCTGCGGATTTGATACCTTCCTGCTCTTTAGGGAATCGTTTGCGTAGCGCATCCCGTTTTTCCACTGAACTCTCTAGCTCATCCAACAATTTTAATAATTCCATTTCACGACTTTTTACACATGATTTTAAGATAGTCTCAAAGAGGCTTTCAACGGGATCAGCGAAAACAATGCCATCATTCTGAAGTTCCCACGGCATGGCTCTACCACCCCCTTTTTTGACATTACCGAAATCCCCAAGGCGGCAAACTAAACGGCAGCCGCCGTATCCAACGGTAAACACCGCCGCTACAATAGAAAAAGATATGAGAGCCTTACGTTTCGACGCGTTTGAAAAAAGACGCTGAAAACGAGAGAATATAGATTCTGTGGGAAAAAACGCACTGGAACGAGAATCCTCTCTAACGCTACTTCCGATAGGCTCGGATAACGAAGAAAAAACCCCTTGAGGTTGATCTTGCGCTCTGGAAGACGTCCACGAAGAAGACATATCCATTTTCTATGTTATCACTTATTTAAAAATAATAATTAAAAGGGGCAGCTCGATATTTAGAATCCAGGGATGGTTTGTTGTCTCAGTTTCCTTATTACTATTAGATTTAATACCAAGTCAAAACACTAATACAGAAAAGAAAGTAAATAGGGCGTCAAAAAGCAATGGAATGACTTCCTTATTGTGTAAAATGCCTCCAGTAATCCAGAGGCATACAAATGTCAAAGTTTGCGTTTATACGTCTGTTTTCATTAGTAAACAGGAGAGCAAATTCTTGTTGAATGAAGAGTAAACGAAAAGAGTGGGTATAACACAAAAGGTGAAAAATATAATAATAATAATACGAGTAAATTATTCAAACCCACGCTCATCGCAATTCATCTCTGCATGAGAACACAAATCCCCTACGTATTCTCTGTGGATTCAACGTTTTCGAGCACCCCTTGACAGAACTCTGCAATAGTTTGCGCAAAATTGTGCATCATAAAATTGCACTGATAACGTAGTCGAGTGCGGTGTACACCCGTAGAGGTGCTCAGCGTGCTGCTTGTGAAAAAGATATCGTAAACATCCCCATAGCACTCTACATAATTATGAGAGTTGGAATTTTTTAAAAAAATGAGAATATTGAAAATAGATGTATTATTGTGTTAAAGTGCGTTTGTCAGTGTGATTTTGCTTCCAGTAGATAAAAAAAGAATCATCCTTGGCTACCGAAGTAATAAAATTTGAAAATTCTCCTTTTTGATAAGCTTTGTGTTTATAATTGTAATGAGTATTTCTATTTCTCATGTGTTCACAAATAAATTCCTAATTGCCTTAGGCGAAATTGATTCGTCCCATTCCCTACCAGACTTCTTCCCTCACACTTGTAATATGGTGATATGTTAAATTAAATAATAGAAATAACAGTATAAGAGAAATTATAGCTTCCATTTTGATTTATAAATATTCGGATACATTGCGTCGAATTAAAAGAAAACAGTGATAAGGAGTCATAATACCCATAGTTATCAAAATTAGAGGTGTAAAAGAACGATCTTTTAACAAAAGGTTTAAAAAAGCTGCCATCTACCCTCTCCTTTCCTCTCGCTGCCCTTGAAGTGAAAGGGAAAAAATAACAATTCGAAATATACAAAATTTTCAAGCACAGAAAGTCATCAAAAGCAAATGGTAAAACAAAAGAATGGTAATTCTAGTTTAAAAATATGGAGATGAGTTTAGTAAAACAAAATGGCTCTACCTAATGTTGATTTTCAGTTTTCTTTCCCACACCGTCCTCAACTAGGCTCATACGTCGTAGTACATCATTAACGGCGGTGTATAACTCGTTAGGAATAAGCAAATAAAGTCGCATAAATGGCCTTGCGGAGTACTTATTTTTCCAGAGCTCCATCACGGCGGACCAATCCTCATCACACTCTAATCGCTTGAACGTATGAGGCTTTATACCCTGAATTAGTGAACGTGAATCAAGCTTCGATGAATGGTCATTAGGAGATATGTTATTCCCTTTGAAAGACTTTTGTCCTGAAATATGATTTTGGACCGACTTCGAGGTTTGACCTTTATCGGTATCTTTATTTAGTTCGATCCCCGCGGAGTCTTCAACGTAAAAATAGAGCCCAAAATTCTTCAAAAGCTCCACACCGGCGGGAGAAGGAATTGTATTCCATCTCCAGTCCTCATGGAAATTACGAAGCAGCACCCTATCAAGCTGCCATTTTCGCAGTGCCTGCCATACACGCCATACAATCCCCGAAAGACGTGTTCGCATACGCAACGATAAAAGAGGTAAAGTTAACGATGAGTCCTGATTATTCAACCACAAAGGTGAAAGATGAAACCCCTTTTTTATCGGAATTTCCCCTGCGACGTCTTTTTCCTTCTTTTTTAATTCCGGGGCCCTATTTGGGGGTGTTATGGTGAAGGGTTTTTCCTTCGATTTTACTGTTTGGCCCCCAGACACCTTTTTGGGAGGGAATTTCTTCGCTGTTGTTACCGCTATTTTACGTGTGGAAGGAGCAGGATGGATAGGTCGCTGCTGCTGAATTCCACACCCAATAATAAAGAGACCGTCTTCTAAATCTAATTTCATAGGCGACTGACGAGGTGCTTGTGTACTAGAAAGAGGACTATTTTCATTGGACGGATTATGATAGGTTGCCACTTTTAACGAGACTTGATCATTCAAATCGATCTTTACAGGGCTTAGCAGCACAGTACTAACTTTCTGATTTGGAGAATCCTTTATTTGCTTTGTTTGAGAGTTATGTAAACTACCATTCTCATTAATCTCCTCAAAGGAATTTTTAGAAGATGAGGGGGAGGCGCTGACGACGACTTGCATATCCAGGGCGCTTGACGGAATGCACTGGAGTGTAGCTGGCAAGCTGTAGTCAAAGTACCGATGACCACTCTCGACGTCGTAGAACGTTTTGTAGAGTTTGTGATCTTCTTCTTCTTCTTTGTCCTCTTCCTCTTCCTCATCATCTTCATTAGATTCTTCACAGGTTTTAGAACTGCTCAAGTCAGAGCCAAAGTCGCTGTCAACCCCATCAACACACTCTGAAGCATCTTCTTCCCCCCTGCTAGAGCTGGAAACAGTATCTTTGAGGGATTCCAAATCAGTACAATCAGAATTAGGAGTGCAGCTGCTTACACTCCTCCCATTCTCCTTACTTCCCGTTTTTAAAGAACTTTTCGACGACGCATCCCGAGATGAAAGGTTAGAATTCTTGCTCGCTTCATCATGACTGTAATCCGAGTAACTTTGTGAGTTATTCTGCTTTAGAGTCGCTACCGATGCCCCCTCGCTCTCCGTTTCACTTTCCTCCGTAGAGCTGCTTTCGATGGCTTCATCCTCCGTTTCTTCTTCCTTGGAGGAGGTCGAAGACGCCTCCGCGGACGAAGGGGGGGCGCTCCATCGCCACCGCAGTTCCTCCGATAAACGCAGAGGGCGCTCACGCGGCCGCCCCCGCCGCGTCTCGTCCGCCTCTTCCACGGAGGAAGACTCCCACAAACCCGTATTGGAATCCCAGCGAGGCTCTACAAAGCGCGGGCAGAGGGACAGCCGCTGGGGTGGCTGCTCCGCAAAGCGCTGCACCCCACACGCCACGGCCGCCGCATGCCTCGCCTCCCGCATCACGGTCTGCGCGGCGCTGGTCTCGTCAATTGACAGGTCTGCCGCCGTCCAGGCCCCATGGGAAAGCCCCACTTCCAACTCGCCTGCCAAAGCACTCCCGCGAGAGTCCGGCCTCGTACCCACCGTCTCGGATCGTTTAAATCGCGCGGAGGTGTGGAGAATGGACGGCCCGAACGAGAGGTCGGAGCGGCAGGAAGGCAAGGCCGTGTCCCCACCCCCACCCCGGCGATGCTGGCGAAGGTCGGAGAGGTGTTGCCGGGCGGTCGCTTCCGCCATAGCCGAGTGCGCCAAGTGGTCTAGCGAAATCCCATGGGGAGCGCCATAGCACCCGCTGCCGCTCTGATGAGTATGGCACGAATTGAGTGGGTTGTTATGCGAGTGGAATCCTAAGGAATGCCCAAAATAGGCTTCGTTCGAGGTGCCGTCCCACCTCCCAAGAGACCCCTGTCTCGCTGAACACGCACTCGGGCTCAAGGTATCGCTGAGGAGGACCACCCGAGCGCTGCCGCGCGGCGTCTCCGCCGGCCGCCGGGTCTCGGAAAGCGCCTGCAGGGGAAAGGCGGCCGAAGCCCCGTGGGGGGAGCCCCGCAGCTGCGCGAGGGCGCTCGCGTAGGCCTGGGCGTAGAGCTCCCGGAGTCGGGCCTGGAGCCGGGCCCGCTGGGCCTCCCCCCGAGCCCAGCCCTCCCGCCGCACCCGCCGCCGCTCGCGGCAACGCGCCTCGTAGAGGAGGACTTT